TCTACAAAATGGTTTATTTACTTTTGAGTTCTGACTTTTTCAAAAATTTCTGCAAATAAAACAAAATCATAGAAAAACGTCACGGAATTACGTACGCAGGTAGAGTTAGCTGGCCAGGCCGTATAGTGGTTCAGGTCACTCTGGCACCTTCTCAAGTCGTATAAATGCATCAGCACGGGTATTTAACCAGTTTTGGGGTAAAAATCATGGAAAAAAGACGTTTTTGGTTTCGCGTGAAAACGAAACATATTGGGCGCATGAGGGTAGAGGCAAAAACGGAGCATTTTTGCGGTGAACTTTTTGCTGGATTAAAAACGTTTTTGAAGAAAACTAAAACGATTAATGGATTCGAGTTTCTGAGCTATTGTTCACAGAAAAATCAATAAAAATACTTTATGGTAGTTTTTCGCGTAAAAAGTGGGCATTTGACATCCGATAATGCGTGGTGAATGTGAAGGGTGGTGACAGTGAGTGGTGGTGGCGGTAGTGAGTGATGATGGTGGCAGTGAGTGGTGGTAGTGAGTGGTGATGGCAGTGAGGGGTGGTGGTAGTGAGTAGGGAGAGAGACAATATGCAGCGTTTTCGTTGGGAGTATTTTTACTCTATGTGGTTGCATGACTTATCTGCGGTTGTAGTATATGCTTGGGTGGTTTCTGTCTTATAAAAGTTCTGGCAAGGTTAGATGTTGTGCGAAAACCGAATATGGGCGTAATAGGCTCAAGGGGTGTGTCGGTAAATATTTGCCGCCAAAGCTGGTTAAAACGTGTGGCAAAACGGTTTAAAGATGGCGTGTAGGGAAAATGTGTTAGCAGGTCAGTATCCCAGTTGCTGGGACACCGTTGTTTGATCGACGGGTCCTGCTTTCTCCAGTCTATCTGGCGTAGGTGAGTCCGAATAGGGTGGTATTTTTGAAAAAGCTCGTCTTTACAGGAGAGTTTTAAGTCGTTGAGGAGACGCTGGAGTTGCTGGTCTATAAATACCGGTGGGTACCTGTTGAGGAGTAGTCGCGTGCGTATTCGTGTGAATTCCGCCTGACACTTCTCTTGACCCGAACATATCCTGATGGCACGAATGAATGAAACCACAGGTATATTTCGCTTGACATGCATTGGGTGTGAGGTGTCAAACGGTAGTAAGTATGGTTGGACTACCGGTTTGCGGTACACGGCTGTTGATGCGCGTGGAACCTGTGCCTTAATGAAAACATCGAGGTACGCACAGCTCTTTCCAATTTCAAACGTCAACTTGATGCTAATGTCTTTGTTATTGAGAATGCCTAGCTTTTGTTCGATTTGAAATGCAGTAAGGCGAGTAGTGAAGAAGATATGATCTCTAAAACGTACATACATCTCCTCCGCTTGTCTTTGTGACGCCAAAAAATCGGCTTTCCATTCGGCCATGTACGCATCAGCGAGAACCTGAGTCACTGCTGATCCCATGGCGCCTCCCCTGGTTTGCTTGAAGAATTTTTCCTCGTAGCAAAAATAAGAGTTTCTGAGCACATGTCGAATAAGGGTTGCAAATGTGTTAATCGCGATGCCGGCAATCTTTCTGTTTCCCGTGCGTGCAAGCATTCGGCATATAGCTGCTATGGAACCTTCCTGCGGTATCATGGTGTAAAGGTCGGTTATGTCGAAAGAACATAAAAGAGTATCGAGGTAAATTGGTTGTTTGTCAAGGATGGAGAGAAAATGGAGTGTGTTTTGTAGATTATAATCGGATATGTATTTTTCAAAAATGGGGCGAAGTATTTGATCAAGGAACTTGGAAAGCGGAGCGGTGGGAGATTTTATTCCGGCAACTATGGGTCGAAGCGGTTCTCCTAACTTATGATCTTTTGGATTATAGTACAGGTGTGGTAATTCGCTATCTTTGGGAGGTTTCATTTTTTCGAAAATGGTGGATGAAATTTTTTTTATTCTTAACAAGTGATTTGAGCAGTTTTTGGGTTTCGGAGTGCATGAGAAAGAGAGGATTATTCGGTACCTCGACGTACGCATCCGTTTTCAGCATGTACGCTTCTGACTTTCGGCTAACGTTTGATACCGTGTCCAAATGTAGGACTTTGGATTTATCGGTTAGTCGGAAGACAGTTTGCCCATTTTGTTGCTACTTTGCAAGTGAATTGATAGTACGCTGAACGGCTCTATCATATGTCTGTAGGGACATACTTGTTCTGTTATCAGATGATATGGTTTTGGGCAAGGTAAATGTAACCAAAAAAGTAAGGAGGAACGCTGGCTGTATGATCGTGTTTCTCATTTGCGTTTCTTTTCGTCTGGTACTTTCAGTTGAAAGACTAATATAAGAGTTATAGAAAGACTTGGATTTATAATGTTAGTACACTTTCAATATATTCGTTGTTAATTCAGTTTCTGTGGTTTAAATGGAATTGATTTCGGGCTGGAGGAATCGTTTACACAGGCAGAATATTGACGTTATTCGTTTTCAATAATATTACCAAATAATTATATGCACTCTGTTATTTATGTTTGATTATGTTATTGAATGGCAATTAGATAGCATGAGTCAGCCTTGACCTTGGTAATCATGCTTATTTTTGCGTTGTTGTTTTTTTACTGAATGCTGTGATGCATGCATTATATCCTTGGCTTTGAGTGATAATGTTGCTATTTGAGTAATATGTAGCGGTGCCTATTTGAAAAGGCTTAAATGCATTTATTCGCATGTCTTTGGTTTGGAATGGTGGATATTTGCAGTATTTCGTTGTTGATAACGGTTCAGTTAGTGGGTTTTTTTGTCAGAAGAAACTGAGCATTATAGGGGAAATATATTTGTATATTGGTATTTCTTTGAATGTCGGAGCTGAAGGATAGGCACTCAAAGTACACTGTATTGTTCATTCGTTCATAGAGGTTTGGTTGTGCGAGAAGTTATATACAAACAAGTTTTTTAGTATAGACTATCTTTTTAGACGGTATTTCGTATAAGACATCGTGTGCCATGACTTTCGTCCTGAAATCTGCAGATAGAGGCACATGTAAAATTATTTCGCGATCGATCGAATTTTTTGTTTGATTTTCGCTAAAATGAGTCATCCAAATTTCAGTTCCCGTTGACTTGTATTTAAGTATAATTGCCTGTATCTACACTTTATTTGCATGACAATTGGTCATAGAACAGAGTTATGGTCGGGTCGATAATACATAGTAAAGTGGCTATCGAATAGCTCGTGGACAAGCGAATCATAACAAAGAAGAAAGAGCATAATGTTTGATGCACTTATATAGACGATTAAAGGTAGAAGATAACAAGTAGAAGACGAGGTGCGGTACAGATTTAGAATTTTGCTGTTTTTTTACTTTTTCCCTTATATCAGAGAACTAGCAAATAAGAGATACCCCTTCCTGCATATGCATGTGTATATATATGATTCTAGTTCAATTTATTCTTCATAACTCAGTCAGTTTTGATCCAAATTTTATAAAAGAACTACCGTAAGATCCACAAGATTTCGGTCTACCCACAGATACGAAAACAGTTCAAGACTCCAACAGCGAAACCTTCCAAAGGACGCGATCAAAATTAGCACATTTTTGTGCAATTTGAATAGTATTAGCATACGTCATTGCCTTTGATCGAGTCCTTCAGAAAGTTCCTCTTTGGAATTCCTGAGCATTTTTACGTTTGTGAATAGACCGAAATGTTGTGAATCTTACGGTAGCTCTTTTCGGGAAGCCGTCAGAAATAATGAAATGCGTAGAGCGTAGACGTAGACTATATTCTACGCGTCGAAAAATCTATGCGTAGAATTTATTCCCTACGCGTAGATACAGATCAATTTCATTCTCTCTCCTTTCTTTTCCTCTTTACGAAAAATAATGTTTTGCAGGAAAAAAGACGGGAAACATCTGTTCTAGTTACAGAATGGAAGAAATTTTCGTTTTCTATTACCAGTTGCATAATTTAATTAAATCTAAAGCTAAATTATATGTTTTACTCTAATGAACGAAACAAAAGCGAATACATTTTCTGTTTTAGTCCAAGTCTTGATTTACTTTTCTGCAGAAGGAAAATATCGGTTACAATGAGTTAATGTGAACTCGCTGAACTTAACCAGTTAAATAGAAATTAATCAGGGAGAGTCTATCTGTAGTTTTCATCCATCTGAAAGAGAAAATGTTCGACAATGTGTCCAACTATTTTTCAGAAATAGGGCTCCTCCAGTTTTTGAGATAGAGGGTCACCAATATCATTTGTTTAGCTTCATCAAAAAATACAATTTTTATTTCTTCTTGAGTAATTACATCCCCAAGGACTTTGTTCCACTATCATCCATCACCTTCCGAGTTTTTCTTTGGTCATAGTAATTGTCGAGAAAAAGAAGTTTCACATTGATATTACGACAGACATATCTGAAAATATCTTTCGCTTAAGCCATTTTATTGGAAAAAATATAAAGTATAGAGCTCCAGTATTACTAATTCGGCATTGCCGCTATATAGTGAACACGAGGCCTGCAATACAGAAAGAAAACAGCAGCAAAATTGAAAAATATCTTTCAGATTAGGCAAATAAACTTTTTCAAGAAGTTAAAGAAGTTTGTGATTTGTGACGTATATGGTCAGAATCAGAACCTGATATTTGTGTTTGAGAAAGCAAAATATGTACACTAATTCGGATAGAATGTAAGAAAAAGTTTAATTTAGATACGGTTTACAAGATGTATGTTTGGTTAATTAAATGTGTATGTTAGTAATATAGAAGAAAGTAGTTTCCATCAAACATACTTTAAATTTTGTGCAATATTTTCGTACTTTTCTTGACACTTTTTAACCGTTATGACTAAGGGAACATTTCAAAATATATTCCGGTCAGTCGCTATTCCTCTACTGCCGCATTCTGCCATTGCTCTATTCCCCGACCATTACTCAACTATTCCCCTACTATTCCTCTATTTCATTGTATACTGATTTGTATATATCGAGCTGGGTTTTCTTTTCTAATTGCTTCTACTTCTTCGATTATCAAGTAATTATCATTCACTTTAAGGGTTTCATCTGGTTTAGCCATTCCAGTTGACAATATGTGCGGTGCAATATCTGGATCGATTATAGCTTTAGATCTCGTTGATGTATGTGAGCAACTGTTATGAATTTTTAAATCTGCATTTTCATCTAACCAATTAGTAAGCTGTTTCCTGCAAAGTACATATCAACTTCAACGAACTGCATTTTGAACAGGACACTTTGGGCTATGTATCCATGAAGGAAAACTAAAATGTTCGTACCTGTAGATTTCGAGAAATGAGCTGGTTTTCCAAAGATCTCCTCTAAAACCTATTTTAAGAAAAGGTTTGAGTTAGTGTCTATTATGAAAAGATTCCTCAAAGTTATTTCTTTTGGATGTTGGAAACCCGAATTCTTTCGTTTTTTCCATCCTTGACTTATTTAACAACAGCCGCAAGCCTCATAATTTGAAAAGGATAGTAGAATTATCACCAGGACAAAACGAGAAAATGTTCTCGAATTTTTCAAAGTTTTCTGCTAGAAGTATTCATCCAAGAACACGTTAGAAAGTCTTTTGATTATTCCATTGACTGTAAGTCTATGGTCATACGAAAAACTCAAAGTGTTTGTGTGTAAGCAACTGCTTCTGTAAACTAAGGTGGAAAATATGGACACTCTCATCGCAAAAAATATGCATCAATTCTGTAATAACAAGATCGAGTTACAACAGAATGAATAACAATACCGACAGTGCATTCATTCGACTTACAGGCAATGGACTTAGTGAATCGATGCGATTCACGTTATTTATTCTTTTGAAAAAAAGAATTTTCTTGTATTACTTTACTGAAAAGTAATACTAGTTTTATGGATATACTCAGTAACAGTAATACTTCCAGTATTACTGTTACTGAGAATAGGAATACATGGAAGATTACTGTTACCAATAATAGGAATATATACAATATTTGTATTACTGATAAAAGTAACAGTAATGTGCTACCCTTAATCTAGGTGAGAAACATAACAAATGATTTGCATAATTTTTATCATCCGGATGATTCTGTGAACATTTGTAACATTTTGATTGGTTACTGCAGGAGGAAGTGATGTAGCACACAGTTAACAATGAGAGACTCTATAGCAAACGACTTCGGACGCGGAAACTGAGCCTTTAAAATGCTCCGTTTCCACCCTGTCTCAATTTTGAGATGGTCTGTCACGCTAGTGAATGATCTCTTTAAGATAGAAGCTATGAATTCGATAGAGCAAGAGTTGTTCGGTGCAGTCGAACTGAAGCTTCGTCAAACGTGTTCGTTTCTCACAGCAAAAATTAGATAAGAAGTATGAATGCTATCAATGTTTCCTCATTTGCATGGATCTGCATATGCACGGGAGTAGAATCCGCACATGGTTTTGGATAAAGCAATAATGAGCCCTTGATCATCCACGAAGACCACTATGACACC